AAGTTCATTTCTCCTAAGTTCAGTCTTCCACAAAGCTCTAGGACATGGACACATTTCAACCAAATCTGTTGCCCTTTTAAACACGGATAGTTTTTCCTCTAATTAAAAAAAAAAAAAAAAAAAAAAAAAAAAAACCATGATGCTGTTCACTAATATCTGAGGTGTGAGGTGTGACACACTTTCTCTGGGAAGATGAGAATAAAGGCGTATTCACCCCAGGCAGCAAACTGACCACACACCAAAGTACAAATACCAGCAAAGTCCAACTCATGGAACCAATGAGTTTTATTGGGGTTACTTTCAGGAATATGAGGGGATACCACAGGAGTAGAAATGCCTCAAAGACAGCTGCATCACCAAAAGCCACCCAGCATAGGTGACAGTTCACAAAAGCTGGAGCACAGTGCACAGCCTGCAGGCAGCTCAACAGGTGGAGCTTTCCTAGGTGGCTTAGTTGATCTGGGCCTCTTCTCAGCAGCTTAGCTTGCTTGACAGTGACTTCCAGCATTCTTTCCTGTTTCTATACCCTTGGGGGTGGAGGTGAATCTGGCTGGCTTCAGGGGCTCCCTGAAGATACTTTTGAGCTGTTTACTCACTGTCGTAACAAGCTTCCCCACAGGATCGAATGCTACACACACACACACACACACACACACACACACACACACACACAAACACACTCATGCACACATGCACACACGCAGCATGCACACACAAGGCTCACCTCTTGGCATTGACTAACACATTGGGAGGCTCTTTATTTTTTTAATTTTTTAAAATTAAAGGCCCGCGGTAGTAGCTAACTCTCAGAAGAGTCATAGCTAAAATTCTGGAAGAGGCTTTGAAACTGGGCAGGATTGACCTGAAGGACAATCAGGGTTCATAGGGAAGGGAGCTACAAAGAGAGCATCAGCCTCTTCAGAAGGCTGTCTATCTAAATGCGCATGCACTGGAAACTGGTGGAAATAAGGACAGGGAGGGTCACTCTGATGAAGTCGTGTGTTGAGTAGCAGTTTCTTCCAAGGCTAAACACATAAAGTGTGAAAAAGAATTGAACCAGCAGGATGTTTTAAGATCGGATGTTTACGTGTGTGTGTGTGTGTGTGTGTGTGTGTGTGTGTGTGTAAGGAAAAGAAGTCATGAATTTGAGAGAGAGCAGGTAGAAGCAGGTAGAAAATAGGTAAATGGGAAGGGTTGAAGGAAAGAAAGGGAAGGAGAAAAATAATATAATTATATATTAATTTTATTTTTATTTTAAATTTTAAAAATAAAATGGGGATTTTCTAGAAATCATGGGGTAAGACACTGCTAGATAATGCCCCCAGTAGACAACCATTAAATAAGGAAATACTATGAAGGACAACAATCTGAAAGCTAATCAATAAATGAGAATCCCAGCGATGAGATGAGAGAGGCAGAGAGGAGAATCCCCAAATTCTGTCTCTAACCCCTGAACTCTGAATGTACAGTACAGACTGTGAAATTCAGACACCAAAACAACAGAAAATACAGGGTGCGGGGTTTGCTTCATGACGTTGGTTAAGACAAGGATTTTTCTGGATAAGATCATAAAAAGGCTTTCTCAGAGGCCCTGATGAAAGGACAGAGGGGATTTCAGTCCTGTGTCCTTGTCCAGGAACAGACTTGGCAAGGTCTGTCTAGGGCTGGAGCCAGTGCCTCATAGGAGTCAAGGTTGCAGCTTCTAGGGACCTGACTCTCCCTGAGCTGTGGTTGTCCTTAGGCAGCTGTGTCTGAGCACCCACCTTCTCTTTACTCACACTGTCTCACTCAAGGCTGCCTTGCCCTTTCCCCTGCAAATAGTATGTGTGATGCTGCACTTCCTGACGAACCTGCTCGGCATAAATCCTCAGCTACAAGACCTCCTGGTCCCAGATACAGCTTTGGTTTTCTTTATTTCTCATCCCCAGTCCTCCCGCTCAACACCTCGATATTCCAGACCCCTATTCCTGCACATTCAAGTCAAAAGCATAGATAACGAAAGTGAGAATAAACAAATGTGATTAAAGAAAACTGAAAAGCTTCACAGCTATGAAAACAATCAAAAGAGCAACAGGACAATCTACCAAATGGGGGAAAGGTGCTTAACATATGTGGCCATCACATGCCTAGTAACCTCATGGCCATCTTAGAAAATATAGGTGTACTCTGCATGTCCTACAATAGCAAAGTCACCTAAAAACACATTCCTTACAAGGTGCCCTTGCCCTCAAGTGATACATGACTACACTTAAAAACTATGCTTCTGACAAGAAATTAATATCCAGTAAACAAAAACAGAAACACTTTGTGGCAAAATAAACAAATAGTCTTATTTAAGAATGGACCCAAGTGGCTGGGCAGTGGTGGCACACGCCTTTAATCCCAGCAGTCATGAGGCAGAGGCAGGTGAATCTCTGTGAGTCTGAGGACAGCCTGGTCTAGAGAGCAAATCCTAGGGCAGCCAAAGATACACAGAAAACCCTGTCTTGAAAAACTAAAACCAAATAAAGTAATAATGAGCCAAAGCAAGCACAGGTCCCAGCAGATGAGGTTCCAGCACTGAGAGGGGAAAGTAGACATAAGCTCCCATCCCTAAACTAGAAGCTATCTCTAACTGATGACTGTTTGCAAAGGAAAAAATACTTTTCCCCTAATGGTGTCTCACTGGGTATAAAGCACACTTAAGGAAGGCCCAATGCTTAGTGGCCAACACAAAACGAACTCGTTGGTGTTTTTGTAGATTATTTTGATTTGTTTGAGCTTTTTTTTAATCTTACTGGTCTTTGCTTGTATGTTATGGTTCTCAATTTTGTAGGTTTGTGTGTGTGTGTGTTTCTTGTGTTTTGTCTTTGTTTATTTTTCTTATTTGCCTGTGTGCTTTCTAAAAAGAAAGAGGAAGGCATGGAGTTGGAAGTGTGTGAAGTAGGAAGAAGGTGAGAGGAACGAAGGAGAGGAAACTGTGATCAGAATATATTATATAAAATATTTTCAATAAAATTTAATTAAAATTTAAAAAAATAATGGGTCAATTAAATGTTCATAGACATGTCTCAGGAAATATCACTAGTCATTGGGAGAATGCAAGCCCAAACCCTGATGAGATGCCATCTCACTCTAGTTAGGATAGCTATATCAGAAAGACAAAAGGTAAGTGCTGACCAGGGTGTGGGAGAAATATTATTGGTGAGAAGCTACTGAAGCATAGCCGTTATGGAGAACTGTGTGGTAGTTCTCTAAGAAAGACTAGAACAGGAGGAATACTTAGCACATCACCCGGTAATTCCACTATTGAGTATACAGCCAAAGAAAATAAAATCAGTACATTAAAGGATTATCTGTATTCCCCAGCTCTTTTCGGAACCATTCACAAGAGCTAAGATATGTGAATCAATCTATATGTACATTAATGTGTGAAGGATAAAGAATATCACACGTGCCATTTAGCTATGAATTATGAATTCCTGTCAGATGCAACACTGTGAATGGAGCTAGAGGACATTGTCATGGCAGAAATAACCCAGACATAAAAAGAGTAATACTATATAATTCACCCTGTGTACAATCTGAAATACTCCACCTTGTAGAATCAGTGAGTAGAATAATGGTTGCCAGGGGCTAGAAAAGTTAGGGAGTGGGAAATGCGATTGTGTTGCCTATGAGTATAAAGTTGGAGTTAGAGAGAAAGAATACGATCTGTTATTGTTTTACTATAAGGTAACAACAGCCAGCAATATTATATTGTATGTCTCAAAATAATTGGAAGGAAAGACTTTGGATGTTTCACAGCAAATAAATGATAAATGTTTGAGGCAATGGATATGTCAATCACCTGGTGTTCTGTAACCACTTATATCCAACTGAAATACTTCCTGCTGGAGAGAGGAGGGAAGTTCATACAACTTACATGACTCAGGAAACTCCTAAAAGTACAAGCTTCTCCCTGAAGCTATATGCACAGGAACAGTTGCTGAGGAGAGGAGACTGAGAGCCTGCAAGGTGGGCAGGGAGTTACAGGGTCATCACCCATGCTGCTGTGAGCTCCAGTGATGGCGCTGCCTTTGAGTCACCCGGGCCCCTGTAAGTGACCTCAGTAAACTGCTAGACTTGCGTGGATCATCTCTTGGGTCAGTAACTGGTGCCACGTCTTGGGGAATAGACATTTGTTCACACCTTCTCTGGAAGGGTCACACATGCTTGATCTTACCAATATACAACATAGTATAAATTAAAAAGAAAATCTCAAGATGATTTTTAAAGCCTTTACAAATGAATGGCTAATTCTCATTTAGTACCAACAAGGTAAAGAGCTGTTACTGCACCTGGACTAGAAGACACAAGTGAGAAGTTATGGAACTTTACCCTGTTGGAGGGTTCCCCTGACAAAAGTTCCCTTTGGTAGACAGAACATAGACACAGCAACCAGACAAGAAGGGAGACTGGGAAATACATTCTCTAACCTCATCAACCTGACTCTCAATCTGCCTCCAACTGACCAAACTCACCTGTAATCAGAAGTCAAAGGTCAAAGTTCAAAGGATACTGTGAAGAATCCCCACAGACTGACCCAGAGCACAGAGTCAAACACAAAGGAAAGGGTGTACCTGAAGAGAGGGCAGGAAGAGGCCAGCCTGATTTCCAACTTCACAGAGGAGGGAGGGAGGGAGGGAGGGAGGGGGAGGGGGAGGGGGAAGGGGGAGGGGGAAGGGGGAGGGGGGAAGGAGGGATTTAAAAAACAAACAAACTGTTAGGGATGAGGGACAGTGGTAAGAAAAGGCAATAACCTGAGGATGAAGCCTCAAGAGGGCTATGTGTATCACTACGCCAACAGGAATGTGTCCAGAAGTATCCAAGCAAATTTATTCCAAATGAAAATATTAAACACCTGCCTCCTTCACCATTTTTAAGTAAGTGTTCCCGATATGACCTGGACCCCAAGCACATGACATGCTATGGCTCTTTGCCTGCATATTTCCCACCGGGCCTTCTGTTCTCTGCTTGAGGCCCTCGACCCCGTCTCTAAGCCATGCTGGCTCTTCAGAGTCTAGGGGAGAAGCCAGCTACTATGATGTTCTCCCCGGTGATGTAGCTGGCATCTGGGGAGCATAGGAAAGACACGATCCCGGCACAGTCTTCTGGCTCCCCAAACCTGAAGAGATGAAAGTCACAGGAAACACTGAGCTCTGACCCAGACTCCCGCAGTGCAGGAGCACCTAGCATTCGCCAGCCTCAGGGGAGCTGTGATGGCTGTTGGGCTCACACCCGCCCTCCTGCCCCAACCCAGGACTCCAGAAAGGAGAGGCAACCGGCAGAGTGGCAGAAATACAATTTTTTCACCGTGAAACATAATTTTCCCTAAAACAAAGCACAGCACAGAGCACCAAAGCCCCGAGCCCTACCTACCGCTGCAGTCCATAGATTTTATTCAGGTCAGGCAGCATGTTTGACATTGTTTTCTCCTAGGAAGAGATTTGAGAGCCAGTGTTAGGCAGGGGACTGTGATATGAAGGGTTGAGGATAGCAGCAGGTCTGACCCACAGCTCCCTCATTCTCCTGCACAGAAGGAAGGGGCTGCTGCCCAAACTCCGACCTCGGGAGGGGGGGGGGCTGCTTCCTGTTCAAGCTCTGTGGCCTCCATTCAGATGGAAGACTGAAAAAGGACCAGAAGGTGCATGCAGAGAGGATGGAATGGGGGGGGGTGGTTGGGAGTCACTCTCACCCCTAGGCCTAGGCCAAAGTCAGTCTTGATAATTCCCGGCACTATGCAGTTCACTCTGATGCCTTTCGGAGCCAGCTCTATAGCTAGAGACTTGGAGAGGCCCAACAGAGCCGTCTTACTGGTGTTGTAGACACCCAGTGTCTGCAAAACAAAGAAGGGGACAGTGAATCAATGTGGTAAGAAGGGATCCTTCCTGGAACAAAGGTCACTTCTGAGCTGCGGAGTACACAGGTGTGCCTGACTGTAGGCCTGAACACAGACTCTCCCCCTGTGCCTCACCACCCCCAAAGTAGTTTGTCAGGCTCTTGTCTGTGTCATCAAGGTGCTGTCGTGTGTGTCCAAGCTTGGCACAGCGAACACTGCACTGTTCATTGGAAGTCAGTCAGGACACTGGAATTAGGAGATACAGGGCCCTATCCTGGCGGAAATACAAACTGGCATCACATGCAGGTAAACGGTGGATGTTTGCCCCTGGAGGGGAAGATGAGATAATAATATCTGGTGTGAAACATTCTCAGGGCCACCCGGGGCATGTTTAACTTCTATCAACAGTCAGTTCTCCCACCCCACTGCAAGGCCTCACAAGAATCAAGGCAGCTTGCCCTCACCCAGCTGACCGGAGGCTGCCATACTCACGGGCACTGGTAGATAAGCTGCTACAGAGGATACCAGGACAACACAGCTCCCCCTTGAGGAGAAAGGATGTGGAGCGAAATTAGAGAGTCAGTTGATTAAAAGAGCAGAAAACTGTTTTCACACCAAGAGAAAAGCAGCTCAGAGTTCACAGCAAAAGTGCACAAGGTTAGACAACTATCTAGAACTGTGAGAAATGAGACATCTAAATTAATGAACCTTAAAGTCACTACCAATCCATAAACACAGTCAGGTGGCAACCCTTAAACAGGGTCCCCAAACAGGCGCACACCCAGAGGACGGATCTCAAGTGCTGTCCATATGTTATAGGGACCTCTGTGGCACCAATAGGCCACTAAGGAGTCCCAGCCTTGATCAGCCCCAGGTAGCCACAGGATACACAAAAGGACCAGGCTTCATAGCAGGTCAGGGAAGGGAACCCATGTCACCTCTGAGCAGGAGAGAAACAGGTGAGATGGCCTGCTAAGGAGGACGAAAGGGAGGGAGGGAGGGGGAGGGAGGGAGGGGAGGGAGGGGAGGGAAGGAGGGGGAGGGGGAGAGAGGGCGGGGGAGGGGGAGGGGAAGGGAGGGGGAGGGAGGGGGAGGGAAGGAGGGGGGAGAGAGGAGGAGGGAGGGGGGGAGAGAGGGGGAGGGAGGAACAGAGAGAGGGAGGGGTGGGGACCCAGACTGCTTCATGCTAGGCCCTTCACCACTGCAGCTGTCACAAAGAGCGAGGTCCCTGAGATGAAAGCCATACGGGCCAGTGCAAGGCCTTTTGAAGATTCGGAAGGCAGGCCTTGTTCTCATCCCAGGAAATGATTCTCTATCAAAATGTCACACCCTTGGGGAAACATCAGGTCTAGAAACAAAACATCCCATCCCAAATCTCTCTCTCTCTCTCTCTCTCTCTCTCCCTCTCTCTCTCTCTCTCTCTCTCTCTCTCTCTCCCTCTCTCTCTCTCCCTCTCTCTCTCTCCCTCTCTCTCTCTCCCTCTCTCTCTCTCTCTCCCACACACACACACACACACACACACACACACACACACACACACACATCTTCAACTCCCTGGACCTCTACCCAGTGTTTCCTGTGGGTCAAAATCAGTGCATATGGCCCCACCCCCACCCCACATGCACTCACCCCCTCTTCTCCATGTGGGGCAGCAACCGGCTTAGCAACAGAGCTGGGGACTTCACATTTACATCTAGGACCTGAAACCCCAGATAATACAAAGGTTGAACAGGTAGGCAGACACCATTGTCTGGGAGCCAGAACAGAAACAAAGGTCCATGAGTATGGTATCTGAGACACTAGTCCTTTGCTATGTGTGAGGGTGCCTTAGTTAGGGTTTTATTGCTGTGATAAAACACCATGACCAAAAAGCAAGTTGGGAAGGAAAAGATTTAGTTGGCTTACACTTCCTCATTGCTATTCATCACTGAAGGAAGTCGGGACAGGAACTCAAGCAAGACAGGAACCTAGAGGCAGAAGCTGATGTGGAGGCCATGGATGGGTGCTGCTTATGGGCTTACTCCCCAAGGCTTGCTCGTCCTGTTTTCTTATAGAACCCAGGACCACCAGCCCAGAGATTGGCCCACCCACAATGGTTTGGGCCCTCCCCCATGGATAACTAATTAAGAAAATGCCCTACAGCTGGGTCTTATGGAAGCATTTTCTTCTGATGAATCTTGTTTGTGTGTCAAGTTGGCATAAGACCAGCCAGCAGAGAGGGTCAGAGGTTGTCTGAGGCCCCTGAGCTCCCCAGGCCTCAAAGAATACTGGACTCAGCTCAGCTCCCTCACAACCTCCACTACAGCCTTCCAGGGGAAAGGCTGGGGAAGCACAGGGAAGAAAGGGAGAGGAGTTCAGTTATTAATGACTGACTGAAAGCAGGAGCATGGATGAGCACCTAGTCTACCTCACCAAGTGTCTAGAACCAGGGATGGTGTTGCTCGTCCATGTATTTGTTGTTTTGGATACCATTTTGGTTGGGTTAGGTTGAATTAAGCATTTATCCAGTGTTGAGAGTCAAACCCCAGACATCTTTTTAAAAGAAAAGAAAGAGCTGGAAAGGTCTGAATATGGTTGAAGGGTGAGGTGGGGGACCTGGAAGGTAGATCAAGGAAGCCACGGAACATGAGAACCACAGAGGGCAAAGTCTACCAAGAAAAAATGAAAGGGTGGCCAAGGGAGGAAGACCCACATGAAGGGAATGGCAGGCTCAGATCACAGCCCATTCCACACCCCCAGGGGTGGGAGGGGGCTCAGACCTGACTAGTCATGGGTGAACTCATCAGGGTGACAGGGACCGGGTCTGCAGAGGCAATAGGAGCTCCCTGAGTGCCCAGTGTCTGTGGCTCCTAGGAACAGCTAGACTGAAGGGTTCACAAAGGCACTAATGAATCCAAGTTGTGACAGTTTCATAAACCTGAGGGTCTCTGTCATGACCAGACCCAGAAATCTTTTCTGGCATCTGAGGACTTGGTAGCAGTGACCCACACAAGGGGAATCAACACAGAAGCTACAGAAACCTGGTAGAATCTGGGTGTGGCCAAGACCCATTGAACTTAATTATGGAAGGTCTGGTTCGGGTCAGCCCCATCTCCATCCACCAAAGCCAATGCTGATGCAGTTCTATGGGAACTCAGACGTGGCATTCGCACATGCATCCATGTCATTGTGAGGACATATAAATGCCATGTAGGGTGTGTACGACTCTCTTCTCACCTTGTCCCAGATCTGTTCACTGGCTCCCAGGGTGCTTCCCACCAAAGGATTGACTCCTGCCACACACACCAGGAAGTCAACGCCCCCAGAGTGCTCCAAGGCCTGCAGAGGAAACGACAGGACAGGCAGGTGAAGGGATGGAGTAGAGTGCCGGTGACCCAAAGGAAACCACTGTTCCATTTTTATCTGAAATGCCCCTACGGGTTCACATTTTGGATGCTTGTTCCCAGCTGTTGCACTGTTTGGGGAGGCTGTGGACCTTTAGCAGGTGGAGCCAAGCTTGCAGAAGGTCACTGAGGGCAGTCCTTTGGAAGTTACACCTTTGGAAGTCCACAGTACCTGCCACACTCTCTGCTTCCCGGTCTGCTGTGATGGAAACAGACTTGACCACATACTTCCACACCCATGCCTTCCCCAACATGATGGACTGAAACCACAAACCAAAAGAACTGTCAGGTATTGTGACTACAGAAACTAAAGACGTGACTAACTGGCCATCCTGGGGCTGTGACAGGCCAGAGCGGATCCTGACCAAGACTGATGCCTGATCACCTCCCGTGGAATGGGGGGGGTGGGGGGATGGGAGATGGTTAGGGGGCATGGGAGGGAGGGAGATAAAACTGGCGTCGATATGTAAAATAGGAATGAATATATATATATATATATATATATATATATATATATATATATATATGCCTGACCAAGATGCCTCCTTGGATGCATCTAGGTTCTGCTTGTAAGATGTCTGATTGGTCCCTGGGTCCCACCTTTCCAGACCTTTGCTCCTAGGAACCCTGCTTTCGGCTCTTCCCTTTCTAGTTGGTTCCCTCTCTGCTCTCTTCTCTTATCTACTATGGCACCTGTCTGGTTCATGTTTCTGCAGATCCTGGCTCACAACTGACTTCTTCTGGGTTGGTCACAATAGGAGCTGATCCTAAAGCTCTTATTTCAGAGGCTAGTCTAATGGGCTGTCAATGCAATACATGTTGGACCAGGCCTACACCACTCAGACTTCATTGTGGGGACAGATCACTTGGGGATGTGGCAACTCTGGCCCCTCTGAAGTTCTAGGCAAGCTCCTCAGTCATGACCAACCACTGGCCATCTCTTTCATTACTAGGAGCAGCACAGCTGTTCCTTCTGGTCAGGAAATCTTTTAGTCATATCTGACTATCCTGAGAATGTGGGATTAGCCTCATTAACAGACCTGGAGACCCAAGCTCTCTAGTGCCAGTGTCTTTCCATCTGTCCCAGCCTGTGGCTCCTTACTGTGGCCACAAGGTGCTGGCGGTCCTTAGCCTTCCCCACATGGCACACAGTGCCTGTCACACTCAGCCCCTCCTCTTTCAGCATGGCCACAGCGTGGTCCACATTTTGTTGCTTCCGGCTGCTGATGACCACATGTGCCCCATTCTGGGCCAGACGCTGGGCAATGGCAAATCCAATCCTGTGGGCAGAAGAGGAGGTGGTGGTGATGTTTCAGCCCTCTGTCTTGTTCCCAGGCATACCCTGACACCAGTTGTTTCCCTGATATTGCCCAAAAGTGTCTTCGGAGTCTTTGATACCAGACAAGAGAAATCGTGAGTACCTACCACATGTCAGTCCTTCACAATCTACTTTTTTCATTCTCACAGCTACATGCATGATAATTACATTATGTAGATGAAGATATTTTCATATTTCATTAAAAGGAACTTTGAAAAGAAGAGTTGTGGCCTTGTTTGGGTATCAGACCTACCAAAGTTAGGTAGAGACTCTTCCTAACTAGTCAACATTGCTGCTCTCTTCCCCAGCCTCAGGGGTCTGGCATGGATTATACTCTTTCTAAAACTAATGCCTTCCCTCTGGTCTGCAATTTTAAAACATTTCTGCTGGAGGACATGTTATCCTCTAGGTCCCCTAACAGTGAGGATGTCTGAAGACTCTTAACTGGTACTGGATTTGGAGCATGAAAAAAGACATCAGTGGGATCAGAAAATCTAGTTCTTGTTTCCCCCAGTGGCTCCAAACAGTTCTAAACATTTTGGTGATATTAAGACCATAAAAGGTCAAGAGGAAGATGGTGTCCCCTCCTTCTGATGATGGCAAAGACTCATTATTATGCTTGTTATTACAGGATCCAGAGGACAACTGGAACTGGGGGGGATGTGGGAAGCCATATGAGGGCACACAGACCTCTCTGAGCTAGTGGCAAGACATGTCCCTGCACATTCCTGGTGCTATATACAGTATGCAGTCAATAAGACCTCTAAGTCTAAGGCACAAGAGATGTCAGGCTTCTTTCTGTTAGCGGAGAACTCAAAAACCAGTGGCCATGTGGGTATGAAAGATAAGAAAGCAGATATGATGTTCTGGTGGTAAAATGTTAATTAGGGATTGTCCACCAATGATGGTAAGAAACTACGTTCAGGCTTGCCCTGATTGTCTTAGAGTAGCTGGTTTTGTAACTACAAGTCTTCCTGGAGCTCAGAAACCAGATATTTTAAGGATACAGAGTAAAACACCAGAGCTGCATGATGGGTGGAGGGGTGTATGTGACAGGGGTATGTGAGGCAAGCGTGTCCATGGGGACCATGGCAACATCTCCTGGTAAGGAGCCAGCCAGGACTTCCGTTCCCTCACCCTTTTGTAGAACCAGTGATCACAGCCACTTTATCAGCCAGGGGACGTCTCTCATCTGCTCTTTTGCTGATCGTTCTTGCTGAGAGAGGAACTAATGCACACCGACTGCCCCTAAAGACCTGTGGGACAGACCTGAACATGGCAGCCATTGGAGAGACCTGTGAAGACAACAATATGGAACACATTAGGAGGTGGTCTCTCCTGGGTCCTCCATGAAGTAAGTCTCTGACAGGTGTCCCACTATCGTTCAAACTTTCCAGAAAATACAGAACCCTGTTGTGGGATAATCTTTTTGTACATTGTGAAGATGTGTCTTTGCCTAAGGCACCTTCTGATTGGTTTTAAAAAGAGCTGAATGGCCAATAGCTAGGCAGGAGATAATAGGTGGGACTTCCAGGGAGAGAGAGGAACTCAAGAATAATCTGAGGCCATGGGATTAAGCCAGTGAGACAAGGAGGCAGTCAGACATACAGTATGGAGGAGAGGTAACAAGCCATGTGGCAGAACATAGATTAAAATAAACAGGTTAAGAGCTAGCTAGGAGCAAACCTAAGCTAAAGCCAAGATAATAAGAAGTTTCCATGTAATTATTTGGGAACTGCTGTCCAAAGAAAGACCGACTTCAGAACTCTTCATGTCTTCTCTATGACCTAGGCTCTAGACAGGCTTCTCCATAGTGAACCACCAGCACAGTATGTAGCCAGGCATGGTACTGGTCCCTGGATAGATGCCTAAGAGATACTTGCCTGACCTGTTTCTAAAAACCTCCAATAAGGAAAGTCACTTACAATACGTTTCTTAGAATCACCTTTGGACTTCTTACACACATCCTTTATTTGAGCATTGAACTTTTCACTTCCTTTTAGGGACAAAACCCAGGGCCTAATACATGTTAAGCATGTGCTCTGGACATATCTCAATCTCTTAAGCATTGAACTTATTTCTTCTCTGCATCTTCAGTTTCCAACCATTCTCTTACACATTACAATCTTCTCTCACCCCAGGCCCCTTCCCAAAGCAACAGCAATAACTCCTTTGTCAGTGGGAATCCAAGGAAACTGATGGCTTAGGTTGGACAGCATTGACAGTGCCTTGGGACTTTGGGGTTGGGTTTTAACACTGAAAGTTGTCTTCCAGGAAACTCCTGAGTCCTGTGTGAACCCAGAGAGGTATATTTCCAGCATCTGTTGGTGGCTGGAGTCCACTCTGAGCAGTGAAGGCTTGGAGACACAATACAGGTTCTTGACATACACAGCAACAAGAACAAGCTCTGTTCTGAAGAAATGTGTAACATATTAAATAAGAATATAATGACTGAAGATTAATGCCCAGGGCTGGATGAGAAAGAAAAGTCCTTTGGGGTAAACGAGGTGGAGCTTGAGACTAGATCAGCTTATGTTAGGAAATAGGATTGAAGAGTTCTCCAGGCGCAAAGTGAGCTGGGTCCTGAGAGATCCGCATAGTAGAGCAAACAGCCTAGGGTTAGGGGAAATGATGTGGACACCATGGAATTTAGGGACAAAAGGAAGTCCTAAACCAGGCACTGGTGGCCCATGCCTTTAGTTTCAGCACTCAGAAGGCAGAGTTGGGTGAATCTCTGTGAGTTCAAGGCCAATCTGATCTACAGAACTAGTTCCAGAACAGCCAAGGCTGTACACGGTGAAACCCCATCTGGAACTCTGACCCCCATCTCCCCCCAAAAAAGGAAGTTCCTGAAGATTCTTACAAATAGGTAATTTTAATGTAAATAAATGATGACACAAATGTTCCTCTGGGGCTTGGTCACAAAAAATCCTGATCATTCCTCACGTGCAGTTTTCATCTTTGTTTAGTTCCTGCCCTGATTTCTCACTGCTCTTCTAATCTTTGAACACATATTGAGGACATGCGCAAACAATGACGGCACAGAAAGCTAACCTAACCTTTCTTGAGACTAGGGCATAAGTCTCTAAAACCAGGCAAGGCCACATCTGCTCTCAACATAAAGACTTTAAGCCACCAAGCACCTTTTATCAAATCTTTGAGGCTCAAAGCAGGTTTAATCTTTTCCATCTCAAGGAGCATTAGGGAATAAATTGTGTCATCGTACAAATCATATCAGGGCCTTAGGGTGTCACCATGCTTGGAGATGAAACCATTAAAGAGAAGACCGTGTTGAAATAAAGTTGTAGGAGTGGATACTACTGATACAATCTGACTGGCTTCCTTAGGAGGAGTGGGAGGGGCGGGGTCAGTTACCCCAGAAGGATGACAGGGATGTGTAGACACCGAGAGGAGGCCACATGAAGACAGCTACAAAGAGACCATCGCAAGCCTTGGAGAGGTGGCAGGAGAAACCAAACCTGCCAACACTTTGGTTGTGGGTTTACAGGTCTGTGGTTTAAGCCACCTGACCTTGTCACAGAATCCTGGTAAATTAATATAAGAAAAGAAAAAACCTCAATGATTTTCTGTTGTACCTCATATCCCTCAACTCTCGTTTTACCAGAAAAGGCACACTAAGAGCTTATGGCCTTCCAGAAAACAGTCAACAGGAAAACAAAAACAAAACAAAACATGAGAGGTTAGAAATTGAGCTCAATGGCAGAGCTCTTGGCAGCAAATGCAAGGCTGTTCCTGCACCAGCACAGCAGGGGAAAAGAAACAAAGAAAGGAACCACAGCCTCAGACCCACAACTACCTGGAGCACAAAGTGTCAATAAAGCAGATAAAACAGATGGAGCCTCCTCAGTGCAACAGAAGGTCATGCCAAAACAAAACAAAGCAAAACAAAAACAAACAAACAAAAAACTGCCATGCTTGCAGTTTTATGCTCTGTTTCCAACCTGCCAAGATTTACCACATAGCAAACTGTATGTGCTCATTTTTTGGTCCAGAAAATATCACCATTGCTATATCTGCCCCTCCCGAAAAAAAAGATGAAAAAGGAACATCTATCTGGCTTGCAGCTTTGAAATGTATCTCACATTTCTAGTCCCAGTCAATGCTTGATGAATATCTACATAGAAAAAGATGGAAGGGATGGGATGTTTCTCAGTGACAGAACACTTATCAATCCTCAGCATTGGAGAGGGGAGGGGAGGAAGAGGGGGAGAAGAGGTGGAGAAGGGAAGAGGAGGGGAGGGAGGACAGGTGAGAGGAGGGGGTGAGAAGGGAGGAGAGGAAAGGGGAGGGGAGGAGAGGGGAGGGGAGGGGAAGAGAGAGGGGAGGGGAGGGGAAGGGAGGGGAGGAGAGGAGAGGAGAGGGGAGGAGGGGAGAAGAGAGGAGAGGGGAGGGGAAGGGAAGGGAGGGGAGGGAGAGGAGAGGAGAGGGGAGGAGAGGAGAAGAGAGGAGAGGAGAGGGGAGGAGAGGAGAGAAGAGAGGAGAGGAGAGGGGAGGAGAGGAGGGGGAGGGGAGGAGAGGAGGGGGAGGGGAGGGGATGGGAGGGAAGGAGAGGAAAGGGGAGGGAGGGGAGGAGAGGAGGGGGAGGGGAGGGGAGGGGAGGGAAGGAGAGGAAAGGGGAGGGGAGGAGAGGAGGGGGAGGGGAGGGGATGGGAAGGGAGGAGAGGAGGGGGAAGGGAGGGGAGGGGAGGAGGGGAGGGGAGGGAAGGGAGGGGAGAGGAGAGGGGAGGGGAGGGGAGGGGAGGGGAGGGGAGGGGAGAGGGGAGGGGAGGGGAGGGGAGGAGGGGAGGAGAGGGGAGGGGAGAGGAGGGGAGGGAAGGAGAGGAGAGGGGAGGGGAGGAGGGAGGAGAGGAGAGGGGAGGGAGAAGGAGATAAGAGACAGAGAAGGGGAGTGGAGGGGAGAAAGGGCAGGCTAGGGGAGGGGTAAGAAGGGAGGAGAGAAGAGGAGAGGAGAGGAGGGGAGGGGAGGGAGGGAAGAAGAGAAAGAAGAGGAAGAGAGGGGAGGGGAAGGGAGCCCAAATAAGTGATGATGCTATCAATGTGACCAACTAAATCAGTACTTCAGTCTTCTCCTTTGCCACAGACCACTAGATGAAAAATATAAAAAAAGGAAATTTGGGGCTGGAGAGATGGCTCAGCAGTTAAGGGCACTGACTGCTCTTCTACAGGACCCAGGTTCAACTCCCAGCACCTACATGGCAGCTCACAAGTGTCTGTAGCTCCAGTTCCAGAGGATAAGATACCCTTGAACAGACATACATGTGGGCAAAACACCAGTGCACATAAAATAAAACTTTTTTGAAAATGCAAGACAACATGTAGAAAGAAGGCTTATAAAAATCTCGAGGAGGGGCTGGAGAGATGGCTCAGCTCGTAAGAGCACCCGGCTGTTCTACCAGGGACCTGTGATACTACCAGAGTACCCAGCACGCCCATTGGGCAGGATCTGATACCCTCTTCGGGCCTCCAAGGGCAGCTGCACTCACACCCGCATACAGGCACATGAATACACAAATACATTTTTAATCTTTTGAGGAATTATGAGAAAAATTTAAAAGGCACAGCATTGCCTCATAAGAAAAACTCACAGCTTCATTGGCCTTCAAGAGATGCAGTGGTTAGTGGGGAGCTGCTGTAGATACTCTGAAGGGGTGGACATAAGTAAGTGTGCCCTGGACGATAGTCAAAACAGGGCTTTTGGAGAAAAATCAAGCAAAACCCATGGTTAAGAAATGAGCAGGGCTTGCAAGAGGGCTTGGTGGATAATGACACTGGGTGCCACCAAGCCCAACAACCTGAGTCTGATCCCCAGAAACCCGTATGGTGGAGGGAGAGCACTGATCCATGCAAGTGTGCACACTTGAGCACGTGCACACGCACGCACACACACACAAATAAATAAATGTGAGGAAGGAACAGTGTGACAACTTCACAGAACATGCCATAGGACATCCCCAAGCACTATACCAGAATAAAGTGGCCTTTAAACGTCCCCGAAAGGAAATAACTGACAGGACTCAGATAATCTTTAAATTCAACAAGTTAATAAAAGATAAATACTAATAAGATCAGAATGGGGAAGAAAAATAAAAGCAGAAATTAAAATCTGAAACAGCTAGTTATGGAGACACAGACCCGTCATCCCAAAACATGGGAGACCGAGGTAGAATTGAGAGTTTCAGACCATCCTGAGCTACATGGTGAGACTTTTGATCCCCTGCTCCCTGCCCTCTGCCCCACCCACCCCAATCTCAAAAAAAGGAGAAGG